CTGTGCTGGCAGACAAGGCAAACCTTCTGGTGACGGCACGCGTGGATGTGCCGTCCTGGAGAAGCTCGTCTAATGCTAACTGAAGCAAAACCAGCGAGAGGTCAGGAGATGATGGTCTGACCACTGCCTGCCAAACCATTTCTTTTTAGGCTCATCTTGTTGCCTCTCCAGGTGCCCTGCTGTTTTCCTTGCTGTCACTTTTTACCTGCACAGGTGCAAATAAACGGTTCCTGCTTCCTGGAAGTTTAACTGAAGCTCTGCTGTTCTGTGACGAGTTTCATCAGGTTTGGGGGGTCGGTTTGAATTTACTGGTGATGTCAGTCAGTCGGAGTCGTGTCATGTTTGTGTCGGCTATGAGGAAGACCTAGTTCAGTTTCTTTTGGTTCCGTCTTCTGTTTTTGTCTTTGTTTAAATGCAGAGTAAATGTTGACTTATTGACCTGAATGATGACGTGGACACAGAACAGTTTCCTCTCTGGGGATTTTTGTTACGTTAAAAACGGCCTCATTTTTATTGTGAGCGTGGAGCAGAAAGCTGGAAGTGTAGATGTAAATCCAGAGTGGGTTTAGATGCGTGGAGGCTGCAGAGAACTACAGACGTGTCAGAGTAAACTGGTCCTCAGGCGCCATCTGGTGGTCTGAGCAGCACACAAAGAAATCATGCAGAAGAAGTAAAAAGTAAGTATAATTGTATTTATATAGCACCTTTCTAGATAAAAAGATCACAAAGTGCAGTAGTAAAAATCATCTGCGGACATGCATATGTTATGATTCAGTGTTGCGGTTGTTTGTGACTCCTCCCACCAGAGGATTGCTCTGGGTTTTCCCTCTTTTCTCTCTCAGGCGCGGACCCCTGGGTGTGGCTTACTGGAGTCCAGTGCCTGCAATTCACTCCTGCTCCATGATTGGGTAATTAGTTGATCACCTTTCACCTTTGGTGCGTGAGTGGGGCCAATTTCTTGTTGCACCCCTAGAATGTCACACATATTTATCATACGTATCACCTTGTTAAGCTCAACTGTAAAATTTAAAGTTATAACTAACAGACTCTATAATAATAACTTGCATCATCTTAAACACTAGAGGATGACGAGGCATCATATCAATTACCTAACAAATAAACGGGGCTTGTTAGAGGTGATAACTCCCCCGTCCTGGCTCTGCCTTGCTGTAGCATGTGTGTTGCACCTCATCAATCTGTAAGCATGGGAGCAGTCCCTTAGGGGAAGGTGTAGCTGGATTTGATGCCCCAGGGGGGAATTGAACTTATGACTTCTGCTCCAAAGGTGTGTAGTCGTACCACTACAGGCTCTTATATTTTATGATTAACTCTGCATCAACTTTTGTTCTTCAGTTGCAACTACTCAATGAGAAAAGACTTTAAAGTCCTCAAAGTCGGCGAACATTTGAATTTATTTCAAAAAAACTGTAAAGAGGAAAGAGACGCGGGAGTTTGCTGAGATATTTATTTACACATTTAACTAGTGGCCATTATATGAAAAGATTTATTTTTTACAGTGTATTTACAGCACCTGTAAGGCATTATGGAACAAAAGAAAACTGTACATTAAAATATTAAAATCTGACAGTAAAGCAGAAACAAGCTGAATGGATTTACATGAAAGTATAAAAAGAAGGAATACGCTGAAGAGTCAGAGGGGACACTATCGAGTCTCATCTGAACGTTTGTTAGCAATCTGGAGTGATGTAATCAACCTGCTGAGGATTATGGGTAATGAAACTGCACAAACAACGTCTCTATTGCACTTTTGTTTCATTCAGCTCTGAATATTTAACTGATAACTTCCTTTATTTAAATCAAAACTAAATCCATTAATACAACTTTCCTCTGATTTGTTTTCACACATTTGTTTTGTGTTGAGTTAAAAATGACCAGAAGTTTCTATCGAGCCCAAAAACGTGAATGAGGTTGGATTCAGATCGTGTTCGGGACAACCTCGGCTGTCAGAATAATCATACGGAGATGTTACATGATGAATAAACATTTACATGGCAAAGCAAGAAGGGGGTGATTATCGGACATTTTGGAGAAAATTGCAAAAGCAGACAAAAGACATTAATAAAATGTTTAAAATGTGGTTTCATTTTTAAAAGAACCAAAAGAATCAAGGGGCTGGGCGAATCCTGATGTAGTTTGAACATTAAAGTTGTAAATTTACAAGATAAAAACAAACAAAAACAAATACTTGTCATTGAATCTCAAACGAGAGGAATTAATGTAAAAGTAGAAGAAAAGTTCATTAACAGGCTTTGAGTGCAGCTTTGTTACTGAGTGTGTTTAAAGTGTAGAAAAAACAAGTTTGTCTTCAAAAAGTGCCTTTATTTAAAAAAAATTAGAAAACTGGAGTTTTTAATGTGTTCTTTGTTTGTTAAAAAGAAAATAAATAAAACAAAAACATCAAAAGTATTTTGGAGCGTTTGTCAAGAACTAATCTGAGAACAATGAGAAAAATAATTGTTAGAAATACAAACAGATTTTCAGTAAATCTGCTGGAAATCTCATCAAATTCTAATGATGATGAATTCTGGACAGACCTGCTATAAATAAAGTTCCAGATTCAAATTTCAACATGCATTAACCTGGTGTTGCGTCTTCTGCAAAGTCTGATGATTTAAAATGGTCCAAAATATTTGTGAGCAGACGAATAATAACAATAATAGTAACAACTAGAAATGAATGTTTTTACCTTTTGGGTGCTTCGCTTTGCTTCACTGTGAAAAAAACTAAATGCTGGATGATCGTGTGTTTAAAAATAATAAATCATGACTCTGTTTCCAGCCGTGTTTAACGAAGCGCTTCGTTAACACTTTGGTCGAGTTTTATTTTGAAAGGCGGTGACACTTCCTGGGTTGTAAGGCTCGGTGGAAGGTAACAGACATTTTAAAGGGACGGTCTGTAGTTTTCCTGAAGGAAACACTAATTGCATTTTTAACTTTTTAAACATAATTTTTGCAGATGTTTTAATGAACACTGATCATAACTGTCTGTGGAGAATTCAGGTGTTACACAGGTGTGACGCTGACACAGTCACCAGAGAAGAAGAAGCAACAACCCTGAAGTTTGGAAACGACCTCCATCTTTACCACCTCAGAAATACTGATTAGCTGGTGGCTGTAAAGGACATGAACCATTTCCTCATCCAGGGATCTTCGTCGTCTCTGGTGAGTTTTCAGCTTTAAATGGAAAGAGTGGCAGCCTGTGCATTCGCTGCAGGCTGAGTGGAGACTTCCTCAGTAGTGCTTGTCGGTAGTTTGATGGTCATGGCGAGGTGGGGGTTGCAATTATTTTGAGCCCTAAATCATTCACTGCTGATCGGTGCAGAGGACTATAGAGCGAGCTCTTTACAAAAACAAAGCTTCATTTTCTTGCTGCACTTCCTCTAACGCCCACTAGGGGCTCCAACAGCAGCCGTAGACTCCCAGGTTAAAACATCGAACGTCACAGCAGAGACAAATGTTTACCGCCTGATACAAAGAATAGTTTATAGATCAGCAACTGATTAAAATTCATCTGTTGAGATTGCTTAACTTTATTATTACATCCATTAGATACCATCCATGAATTATATAAAAGTCTGGCAGCACAAAACCGAGTTCGCTCTATAGTCCAGTATATTTTTGAAACACATTTTATCTTGATTTTATTTTTTGGCACATATTTCCATCATTGCCCGTCTCACAGGAGGTGGTGACCTCTGGCTGCCTTTAATCGGCTGTGCAAACACATCAGGCTGATGTAGTGAGTGGAAATCAAAGTGTTTCCATGAGCTCAAGGAGCAACAAAGAGTGTAGAAACTTGTAGAGACGCTGCTGATCTGCTCATTATTGTAGCGCTGTTGTGTTTTTAGTGACGGCTGTGAGTGCGAAGCTTTGTTCAGTCAGTGTGTTGGTAACATCTGCATCCTCAGATTAGTGTTACTCTTCTGTGTAAAAAGTAATTAATATCCAAAAACAATCATTTTTCACTATAAATACCACAAACTCCTTTTCCTGTTATTTCAGGACAACGCTGTTGTGTTATGTTTGTTTGCTCTGGCAGACGGAATGACATGGAGGAGGTGGAGCAAAGGTGGTGACGGTGGGTTGCAAAGTGGCTTGCAGTTGCCTGTAGGCAGGCTAAAGCAGCAGTAACTCGATTTTTGAGCAGACTTTTGTTTTTGAAAGAAAACGAGTAATATAAGAAAAAATAAATAAAAATTGCTTTCATTATCCCGTTGGAGTGTTGGTGCGAGCAGCTTCAAACAGTCTAAAAGTCGGCTGAGAGTTTTCAGTCTCGAGCGGCTGGAAGCAAGTTTTTTCCCCTCTGGCATCTATGTAGACCAAACGGTTGATCCACAGAAAATCAGAACGTACGATCGAATTCATCCAAAACAAGAGAAACACTGCAAATTTGAGAAGATGGCGACTTGGAGGATGTTTGCTTTAAAAGGAAATAATGTTTTCAAGGATCTTCTGGGAGTGAACAGCAATACCTCTGGTCTCGGTTTTAGGCCTCCGGGTTCAAACACGCTGCTTGCATACATGCTGCAGAGATGAAGCAGTTTCTTCTGTTAACTTACGTCAAATTTTTTAGCTAAGTTTTAATAAACAAGCAAGAAATAATCTAATGCAAAGCCTATAAAAGCGTCATTTTTCAAGCCCGAACTACTAAAAGCTAGAGGCCGCGGCCGTAGACCTGGAGGCCTCACTGTGGGGCTTAAATGCTGCGTGATAAAGTGCTCTGAATGGAAATCTGGATCTGGGAAACGCTGGCTTTAAAACCCCGATGGCCCCATTTGTCAGCACAAACATTTACGCTCTACCCAAAATGGTTTTTGTGGATTTTAAGCCAAATTACGTCAAATACTAACACGAATGTCCTTCTAAATTCTTGCTTAAACACCAGCACTAATATTCCCACCTTTAGAATATATTTAGAAGTATTAAACACTTAAGTGGAATCATTATCTTAACGTTTAAAAAAAAAACAAACACATACTCTTTCATTAACTGCATCCTTTGTAATCACTTTCACCATCTGCTCGTCCTTAAAGGGCCAGTTCAGCCCTGGTTTCCTTCGAGTGACTGGTGAGAGCGCTCTAACTTCACAGATAAAGGCTGCCTTCTCTTGAACACGAATCGAATGAATGAGCCAGAAAACAGCAGGCTGTTGCTTCTTCCACCAAATGAGGGAGTTCAGGATCTTGTGCACAAGTGACGGGAACACGGAGCGTGAGGTGGAGAGGGTGCGGCGTCAGAAGGTGACGCTTTGAATTTGCCGTCAGCTCTCAGCGTCTGGTCAGGACTATCGTCTATAAGTCTTTTTCCAAAAATCATAACCGACTTAATCACAAAAATCCACAAAACCTGTGCGTGGGACCAGTGGACGAGTTTGAACGTAACAAAAGTCGAGCACAGCCGATTAGACGAGGCTCAGCGTTGATGTTAAAGGTTAGCACGGATGCCGTCCCTCTTTGCTCCGTGCTGCTCGGTTACAGCTTCCTGTCACACACTGCACTCTAGTGGTGGTTGCTAGGTAACATCTACAGGCTCTAATAAAACACGTTAGACTGACTTTAATGAAGGGCAGCAGCGTCAAACCACATCGTTGGCCGGCTGACTTGGGAGTGTGGGCAGGTGATGTCACCTGTAGGTTGTTTGCTGATTGGTTCTGGTAAAATGACTGCTGTTCAGCGGGGCGCTAAGCTAACGGATCGACGCGCGACAGATCGACGCTTCCTTCTGCACAGATCCTGAAACATGCTCACAGTGAGTTTGGGTACATGAATCCTTTTTTAAGGAAGGTGGTCTTGATTCCCAGAACGACAGAATTATATTAAAAATGCTTTTTGAGTTTAGTTCTGAGAAGGCAGCAGATATCTCCCAAACTGGGCAGCTCCCACCAAAACTGGTGACAGAGAAGCAGCGAGTAAACTGCAACACTTTAGTTTTACTTCCACCCAAATCTCCCGTGTTGTGAGTTTGTTTTGCTAGCAGATTAAAGTAGTGCAGACTGCCGTCTTTCTTGAAGCTAATATTACAACAAAAGCAGCAAAGTAAAAGAGTGTTTGTGAACTCGAACCACAAGGACTCACATTAATAAGTGAACCACAGAGGACATTTCTGAAGCCTTGAGAAACTCATTAGCACCTACAGTTAGATTTAGAGTCTTGGAGAATTACGCAGGGCGTGACGCTCAGTGTTAGCGCCGTCTCGACCCGGAGGAGCCAAACGATGGCCGAGTCGGACTGCTTTTAGGTTTTTTTCCCAGCCGCCTGTGACTCCCCAGCTGTGGAACACAATCTGTGAGAAATACTGACTGGCAGCTGAAGATCAGGAGTAACCGAACGCTTCTGGTCCCAGCAGAGGTTTCAGGAATCGCCGGAGCTGCCGCTTCCTTTCCCAAGACGGGTCAGCGGCTCCGCCCCCACCTCCACGGCTGCCTCGTCTTCACTTCAAGCTTCGTAGCTGAGCCCAGGACTGAGTTTAGCTTCAGGCTACGCAGCTTCAAGATACACAACTAGCCTCTGTGGTTGGCGGCAGGGGGAGCTAGCGCGAGCTCCGACATCCCCGAAGCCAGACGTTAGTTTGAGTACAGCTGGAGTTAGCGTCGGGGTTAGCTTCTCAAAGCTGGACTCGTGTTTTTATCCGCCTCTTTATTTCCGTCCTTCATCAAGGCAGAAAACACCTGGAAGGAAATACAGCTGTTAGCTTTTTTATCTGCGAGTGAGCTGCGCCGCCCTCGCCCTGCGCTCTGACCGTGAGCCTGACCTGAGCCCAGCGGCGGTTCCTGCTGATCATGTGCGTGCTGGCCATGGCGTTGAAGAGCGTGTGCGACTGCAGGTCCTCCGGCAGGCGCGTGAGGAACTGCGCGATGTGGATGAAGTCCATCTGCAGCAGGACTTCCTCGTACAGATGCAGGATGCCCAGACCCGTCCGGAATAAGCTCTCCTCGCCGTCCCGGCAAAAGACGTCCCACACCCGGCACGCCACGTCCAGAGGGAGTGACTTACTGTACAGAGTGAAGATCCTGCAGGGAGACAGACATGCTGAGTGAAATCTGCAGACGTATGAAGATGAAACACCAACTCAAGGCGAGTTATGAAAGATCGGCATGGAAATATGCACCGCTAAAACCAAATCAACGCAAACAGCTGCTGCATGACTCTGTGGTGACCTGCAGTGACCTTTGTTACGTGTCACCTGCTCAACCAGGTGAGCTACATCCAAAGTCTTTTTTTTTATTAAGACAAATGAACTTTAAGGCATTTTTAAGTCGATAAATCTTACTGACAATCTAATCTGTGTTAAACATATAAAAGATTTGCTGTAAATTTATAACAGAAAAAAATCCGCTTGGCTGCTTTTTTCTTCAGTTGTATTAACTCACCAGTCAATCAGATAGAGGTCAGGGGTCAGGCTGTTGGTCTGGAAGTGGCTGAAGAGACGAGGAAGATTCTCCTCGAAGAAAATCTCAAAGGCTGCAAAATACTTCAACATCTTTCAGAAACGAGAGAACAAAGAGGAAAAGGTTTTAAATGTTCACAGCGATTTGTGTAAAAGTAAAAATCTTTCACTTTTACTCACAAACCAACTCTGAGTTCTTCAGGAGGTTTCTGAGTTTTCCCTCCTCCCTCTTATGAAATATCACAAAGACTGCGTACCAGTTCGTGGTCGACTCTGAAGAAGGCCATCTGACAGGGTTTATTGAGCAGGTTGGCAAAGGTGATGAAGGCCTCGGCCTCCTCCAGGTTGAGGATGAGCACAGCAGCGATGAAGGACATGCCCTGCACCTGAAAGTCCACAGACGCTTTGGTTTCGGATCAGTCTTAACGAGACACTGAATGATTTTTAAATATTTGGTAACAGCTGCCATAATGCTTTTACTCACATAGCCAATGTCAGGCCTGTAACACGTGTAGGCACCCAGCACGCTGTGGAGGAGGTCGTGGTACGGACCGCCCTGCAGGAGGAAGACACAGCAGACATTCATGTGAGACACAGATGTGATTGACCTGCTGGCTGTTTGTTGCAGGCAGACTGAAGAACCTCGGGACAAAAACACCCACACAGACGTCACAAGTCCAAAAACAAATGTCTGAAAATCCGACCAAATTCTTTTCTCATCGTTGCAGAAATCAAACTGCTGCATTTGCTGCTGCAGTGCTGCAAACCTGAATGGTCCTCTGCCTGTTATCTGTGTTTACCTTCTGGAAGATGAAGAGCGAGGGGAAGGTTCTGGAGATGTCTAGTTTGATGAGATCCAGGCTGGACTCTCTGTCAGCCAGAGATGCTCCTCCATCTAACGGGAGAAACACACAGAAGTAGTTTTCAGTCGCTGAAACTGGAGCTGTGAGGGTCAAAGAGAGGAGGGGCGTCGTACCGCTCTCGCTGTCGTTCACCGAGCTGGTCTCGCTGTAACTCCTCCACTTCTCTTTGGCTCTGGAGAGGAAGATCTCATAGAGCTCTGCAGCGAGACAAACACCCATCAATCAGAAAATTAGACTCTGCAGACTCAATCGGCAACTTTTAAAGGTTAGAGTTTCAGTTTTTATGCAAATCCATCATTTTGAATCTCTTTGAGCCTCAGTCACAGTTTTGTGTGCAGAACTGTTTTTTACCATGCAATCAAAATTCTCGTTAGATTCATTAAAAGTGTGCAACGCCCAGCTGTGTTCTTCCCACTGTGCAAATGTTTGTGAACCAGAATCTAAACTGACTGTCTCTGCACGCCTCCATCTCTCCATATAAGAGAGCACAGATTAGGGTTCCTGTGGGACTCATGGTGGTTTAAATAAACAGCTGCAGTCACTGCAGCATTTAAAAATGTACTTAATATTTAACAGAAGTGTTAAAAGAGTGTCCAGGATCGCGTGTTTGTACCTGGTGTGATGTTCAGCTCGTTGCCGATAGCGAGGCTCCAAACTCTTCCTCTGACGCTGGGGGGAAGGCCCTGCCACCACAGCTCTCTGACCCGCCTCGTTCCCTTCCTGCACACACACAATGCATTAAATAAACACAAGCACCCACGCGCGCACACACACAGCGGTGGAGACGTACATGGAGTCCCAGTGAGGCAGGATCTCGGTGTTCCAGATGACCATGGCGTTGGAGATGCTGTCCTCCTGCCGGTGTCTCTCCTTCATCTGACGCTTCTTCCTCTGGGCTTCTTTCAGCTCTGAAGGAGACACAACAGCACGAGCCAATCAAATCCAAGAACAGAACCAGCCAGTGACATCAATACATCTGTGTGTGTGTACCTCTCCTCTTGGCTCCTGCCACCATCTCCTCGTACTCCAGCTTGTGTCTCTGAGTTTCCTCCGTAGATTTAGCCGGCAGGTTCCTGAAGGACAGACAGACGAGCTCTCAGCCAGCTGGAAAGCTTGTTGGGGTTTTCTGGTTTTACTTCCTGTCAGGTGATCACACACAGCGGCTCTGTCTCTCTGTGACAGTGACCTCATCCTGAAGTGTTTCTGCTGCGAGGATCGCCTCGCATCCCCCTCACTCAGGAAAAAACTCATTAATCTGACATTTTACACCAGTTTGACTCTAATGTAAAACTGTTAGCTCATCTTTGTTCACCACAGAGGGACAAAGAACAATAAAGATTGATATTAAACCTTTGATAAAAAGCTTCAGTGTTTTCACTGCATTGCACAGTCGAACCTCCGACTTCCACATACAGGCAGGAAAGATAGTCATGGAGGACCACGTGTAGTCTTCCAATGCAAATCCATATCCAAGCATGTGTTACTGATACACACACATGTATGTGATGGAAATATTCGGCCCTTTCATTTGCTTTTCACAAAAATAAAACATGTCATTCACTGACTCAGGTGTCTGTTTCTGCAGCTATGAAACATTGAAATATAACATTTTAATCTGCAAGTGCATTCAGCAACATTCTGCCAATAATAATAATAACCAGTTCCAGCTGGTTCCAGAGAATAAAGACCAGCAGCAACTTGACTTCCCAACACTGCTGAGCCCAAAGTTGGAAACATTGAGTCAGAAGCTGCAGCTGAGGTGAGAAACAAACCAGCACTAATGCAGGCTGGTTTTCAAACACTCCAGAGTGTACTGGTAAAAAGATCGGCACCAGCACGGATACCCTACACCGCTCGGCTCACAGTTGGAACCATTGAGCTTAAACGTGGGAATAACACAAAATCCCCTGTTTGTAGATGCACTCGCTTCAGAAGTACACACATCAGCAGGTTTATGCCTTTTCCAACATCACAGCGTGTAATCTAGAACCAGCTGCAGTCTTTTCCACCACAGGCACAAAAGCACATTCTTAAAACTGCATTTTTAAAGCCACCACAGAACTTACGAAGGGCGGTCCTCCAAGATGAGAGCCGTGGTGGAAAGAGGTTCAAACTCCAGGTTTTTCCTCCTCCCTGCAAGCAGGGGCCGCTGAGGACACGAGGGCACGCTGGAGTCCTTCATCGGCTCCTGCTGAGGAGACTAAAGAAAGAAACAGATATCATGTAGTACAGCATCGCTCTCAGAGGAATAATTACACCTGAACATCAACTCAACAGGGTGTTTTTGGCAGTTACACAAATTCAGAGCCGTCTCACATCTTTTTCAGTTCCCACGGTCCTCACTGAGCTGTGGGTGTTTAAAGTTTTATTTTCCTGAGCTGTAAAAGCGCCACACAGAGAACATCATAAAAAGCCATTCCACCTTATACACAGATAAACATCTGCCTCCAGCTCAGTTTCATTCTTCTCTGAGACCCAAAAACTGCTTTTGCAAAGGTCTGATCATTTCAAGTGTCAGAGGAACAGGTCGGGCGAGCTTTGGAGACAAAGGTAGAGAAGCTGAGAGGGTTTGCACATGTGCAGAAGAGGGAGAGTGGATTTACAGGACAAAGGATGATGGAGCCGCCAAGCAGGAGGAAAGGAGGAAGAGCTCAGAGAAGATGGATGTGGTGAAGCAGGGCATGCAGAGGGTTGGTAGCAGAGGAGGATGCTGGGATAGGGTGAGATGGAGGCACATGGTGGAGATCACTCTCCACTAATTGATCTTAGAACTGAAAAAGCTTTTTGGATGAGAGGTGGAAGAAACGTAAAGAAGTCCAGGTGCTTTTCTTTCCACAATTTTCTCAAGTAGAAACGGAAGTAAAAGCATCGTTTCTGAATTTAGTACAAATGTTTGTAACAGATTATTTGCAGTTTCAGAATAAACAGAGCGTTCGTTCATCAGCTTAAGCACAGAGAATCACTCTGTGTGTGTGTGTGTGTGTGTGTGTGTGTGTGTGTGTGTGTGTGTGTGTG